ATGATCGATTCTAGGTTTGTGAAATTTATATAAATGATCTCGTTTAATGTGATGCCAATGTGATTCGATGATCATAGTGGTTTTAATATGACAAATATATTCATTAGATGATCGTGTCCATAAAATCTATTTGTTTTTCGAATACCATTCTTTTCAGAGATACATCCATAGCCAAAGTAAATCATTAGATTTGCAAAACTGAAAGATTTCACTCACACATTCTTTTCAAATTTCATTTGCATCTACAATAAAACTACCATCAGATTTTGGTAATAACATGTGTTGGCTTGAATGATCTTCTATAAGTTCAATTACTGTTTTACGCAAATTTAAGGGGCAAAATATTGTAGAAGTAGAATTATCTACAAGTTCCCAATTAGAATCTATTATGGAACATTCCTCATGCGCAATTCTGGGATTATAAGAATAGTATACATTTATTTTATTTAATGCTAATTATTGTTTGATAGCATGTTGTACATGCCACAGGCATAACTGCACACGAGCTTCAGGCCAAACTGTTTTTGCTGAATTTATTTCTGAAAAATCTTTGTCACTTAAAATAAAAGGAAAATTATTTAAATGTTGTTCCTTGAGTGCTTGCATCCAACATGTAAGGATTCTTGTTATATCCCTGTTTTTTCCAGCTAAAATTAAAAGATAACTAAGGGGAAATCCAGTACCATCAATTATACCCATAATTGCATATAATTCCCACAATAAATTATTAGTACTATAAGTTGTATCGATTTTAATTGCATCAAATTTACTATGAATTAATCAATAAAACAATGTCGTCAAAAATCCAAGAGCAGGAAAAAACAGGGATATAACAAGAATCCTTACATGTTGGATGCAAGCACTCAAGGAACAACATTTAAATAATTTTCCTTTTATTTTAAGTGACAAAGATTTTTCAGAAATAAATTCAGCAAAAACAGTTTGGCCTGAAGCTCGTGTGCAGTTATGCCTGTGGCATGTACAACATGCTATCAAACAATAATTAGCATTAAATAAAATAAATGTATACTATTCTTATAATCCCAGAATTGCGCATGAGGAATGTTCCATAATAGATTCTAATTGGGAACTTGTAGATAATTCTACTTCTACAATATTTTGCCCCTTAAATTTGCGTAAAACAGTAATTGAACTTATAGAAGATCATTCAAGCCAACACATGTTATTACCAAAATCTGATGGTAGTTTTATTGTAGATGCAAATGAAATTTGAAAAGAATGTGTGAGTGAAATCTTTCAGTTTTGCAAATCTAATGATTTACTTTGGCTATGGATGTATCTCTGAAAAGAATGGTATTCGAAAAACAAATAGATTTTATGGACACGATCATCTAATGAATATATTTGTCATATTAAAACCACTATGATCATCGAATCACATTGGCATCACATTAAACGAGATCATTTATATAAATTTCACAAACCTAGAATCGATCAT